AGCAAACTTGGCTGTCTTTGGCCCACCATTGTTCAGTAGCACTGAGGCATTGCTGGGCTAAGTGAGGGGCCCTGATGGATACCTACCAGACTCAGACCACCAATAAAGGTGGGAGAGGAGGAGAAAGAGAGTAAATGGAGGGATATTGAATAGGGGACAAGAAGATGGCAGAAGATAGCAGAATATAGAATCCAAGGTAGAGGCAGGGAAAGAGAAGGAATATCTATTGTCCCATGCATTCAAATGCACAGGTGTGTGTATGAGTGTAATATGGATGTTTCCGTTCTTCTTTGTATGGGTTGTAATATAATATGTGAGTTTTCTTCATGAAATAGAAAAGCCCAACTCTACTGTACACCTTGTAGGAACAACAGCGTTATTAGCTGAATTTTCTATTCCCAGTGTTTTAATAATCAATTAAAAGTGATACCACAATGTGAAAATATGCCATTACAAGTAAAGGCTGTGCATTAAAAAGTTTTCTTAAAGCTGCTCTGATAAATATTTTTATTTCAACATTGGGTCACATTACTATATGTTTTACAGCCAGCATCTTTACTGTTTTGGTTCACCGCATTCATCAATGTCCTTTTCAGACACAAAGCAGCATTTCAGTGTAAAGGCTTTTAAAAAACCCTCTACACTACCTGTCCAGCATCAAACAGTAGCAGCTAACTGGCAAACATAGCAGAGAATTTAGCTGCTAAGGGCGTACTCACACTAGGCCCGGTGTCTTGTCCCCCTCCCCCTCCCCCCGCTGGCCTACACATTGCACGTAACATTCTGAGTCCAAGCACGTTTACGTCATCACTACATACAACTTGCTGTTTTGGAGAAAAAAAAAGGGCGCTCCTTCTCACACAGCACAATCGAGTTCATGAGCCATCACACTAGCCAAAATGGACTTCGGGGATTAAACGTGCTTGGGCACAGTGAGGAGGCCCTAAAGTATGTTAAATTTTCATCAGTAGATAGTGGAAACCAAAACAGAGCGAAAATAAAAGTGAATATTGTACTTAAATCTCTCATGTCTCCTGAAACACAACTCCATTGCTCCATGTAAATATGATGTGTTAATAGGCAACTGTTTGTTAATATTTTTGTCAGTGTAGTGTTTACATCTTGTTGCACTGTCCCCAGTCACCAAAAATCTATGAATGCAGGTTTAAGTAAAAATGCGTATTATTATTATTATTATTATTATTATTATCCGCAAAGCCAACTATCAAAAGTGGCCCCTTTGTGTTATGAATTACTTATACATCAGCATATTAATGTTCTAGCTAGTTGAAGTGCTGCTTCTATACCACTACAAACTGCTGTCCTAGAATTATTACAACACTTTTAGTAGTTTATTGGGTAACACTTTACAATGCAGCACACAAAACTGTGAGTAGTAAATAGTCAACACAAAATTTTTGTGCACCATGTCGTAAAGTGTTACCATTTAAAGTATAGTGTTATAATAGCTGAATCTATCATGTGTTTTCCAAATAATAATGCAATCAGTGAAGTAACTAATAACTATAACTAAAAGTTATATAAATAAAAGTACAATATTTGCCTCCAAAATAGAGTGGTCTAGAAGGATTAAGTTGCACAAAATATGATGACAAGATTAGGCATTTGTCATCTGCAATCCTAAATAACATTATTACTTTTACTTTGGTGATCAATGATTTTTAAAGACTATATGCCACCTTTTTTTAATCAAACATCACACTGATTTTATTTTGGAATAAGACTCTACACTTACAGATTTCACTGTGGATTTCTGCGCCTCAAAGTGAGCTACTAATCTGATCTCCAGAGAAAGGTGTGTGAGGATATTTTCGTAGGATGCTGGCAATGGCGTAACTTATGCTCGAGGCATTGTAAACAACAAGACACCAAGTCCAACAGAACAGCAACAGTCAACATCGCCTGGCACAAAAAAAAAACAAGGGAAATCTGTGATGAGAATAAAGTTCCTTGATGAACTCCGCTGAGGCCACACACATCACATGGAACTCAAATCAGTTGACTCTGCGTTTTTTTTTCTCTGCAAAGCTTTAGCACAACAAAGTGTCAGTGACATGAAAGTGCAGCGAGACTTGCATTCATACACAGGGACGTTAAAATGATTGAATCTGATGGTCTCTATGGCAACCCAACCAACTTGATGACCATCATTGGTGGCCACTAACCCGTCAGCAGTGAAGTGGAGGCTACTGCGTGGCACTTAAGTGACAGGAGCATGAAGCGACAGATGAGAAAGAAAACGCACAAAAGGTCAAGGCGCTTCACCTGCTGAAAGAGAGGGAAATGTGTTGTAACTTGAGTGTGGTATTTTCAGAAACAATGGAACTTGAAACTTAAGGCGCTGAAATGTTTCCATGTCAGAGTCGTGTCACGTAATAGTTCTTTATTGCTGATCTAGGATATAGATTTATTTGGATGAACAGTGTGACAGTAAGTTATAATATTGAGGGTTGAATGCACTGTAAAAGAAAAAAGAAAAAAGTCCTGATGCTCTGACTTACTGTTTAATGACGGGCTTCTCTATCATTTCTCCTTCTCTCCAACTCCCTGACAGTGGGAGACATACAGAGATTTGTGAGTAGATTAGCAGCAACCTTGCTTCGGATAAGAAGCCGCACTGATAAAGCCCTGTCCTATGAGGCACATGACTGTGATTGAACACCATATCTGACATGAGCAGATCTGTTAAGAACACAATTAAGACACTGTCCGACCATATCTCCTTAACTGCACTTGTCCCTGCTAATCCTTTCGTTCTGTGTTCAGACTAAAAGCAGATAATCCGTGCAAACAGTGGAATTGGATTAAGGTTTTTTATAATGCATAGATAACAGTAGTATATACTTGTTGTTCTGTGTATTATATTGTAATCAATTGGTCAAAGACTAGTTGAGAAATGACTTTGTCTCAAGGTGAAACTGATCTGGCACTTTAAACAACCAGCCTGGCTTGGCCTTGTAGTAATCCTGTGATCCAGAGACAAACAGAAGAGGCAGTAAATGAGTAAATATAACACTAAAGCTTTTTAGCTATAATCCAATTTATGAGGCTTTTTCCAAAACAGCTATTTTTGTTCAATTTTCCTCCTCTGGGTAATTAGAAATAAGACTGAAACGAACCTTTCTGAAAGCTCAATATATAGTGACACACACATTTACACAGGATTTTCAACACCATGTTGTTTCCAGCCACTCTTTCTGCAAGAAAACGCCAAATCTGGTCCATATAAACCGCCCAAGTGGTCTGTTTAAAAAGCCAGGTGAGAGCAGCTTAATGTGCTTGGATAAACTTGCCAGCCGCAAATCCAAACCTCAAATTCCACTTCACAGTGGATGAAATGATAAAATGCTGCATGTGCTTCCACACAGCATCAGCATCACTGGTATTTATTTATTCTTTTAGCATTTGCATTCTTTGTTGATGGATGCATTTCATATTATCTTTGTGTCCTGCAGAGCCAGAGTACGTCTGTACCAACCCCCATCTATCAAGGCCCATAACTTGTGGAACATCTTTCTGCAAATAGCTTCTCAGAACTTCTTTTAGTGCGAGCCATTATCGGGACGCTTTTGTTACGAGAAAATGCCTGTATATACACACACACACATTGGTACAGATTTTGTGTTTTGGCACAACAGGCTCTTTGCAAATGTACATGCATAATGGTAATAGGGAAGCTGGGCAGGTATGCTGCTGATAAGATCCATCACTTAAGGACTTAAGGATCAGGCGAAGGATGACAGAAGGTTAAAAAAGCACCATCTGTCACTCACAAGTTTTAGTTTAAAAAAACAGCAATTTTTATCTTTTACCTGCAAATTAAAACACCTACCATTCTGTATGTGTTGTAAATAGTAATACTAAAACACTAATATTAGCTATGTCTGCATCAAGTCATTGGGTATTGTACGATAAGCAATATTCCTGGCCTCTGCTGTAGCAGATCTTCTCAGAGATGCCCTTCAGGGAATCATTATTTCAGTAAAACACCACAAGGGTGTTGAATGCTTCCATCTGCTGCCTCTTTCACCCACATCGATTATTCAGACACAGTCTAGTGGAGTCAGAACCAGGTAGACCAAGAGAAGCCACTGATGTCTCACTCTTACATTCCCAGTTGATTAGGAGATATCTAATGATGTCTAACAGCTGAGGAGTCATTATGAACATTTTAGTTACCATTTTCGGTGTCTGTTTGCACACATCTGCAAGCATATACGCACTACACACCATGCGTTGTGTGCAAATGCACAACTAACAGTGTTTTAGTTACGTGTTCCCCTTGGCGACTGCTGCTGTGTTTGTCACATTATGCTCAAGTTGTTTCCCATGTAATAACGGTAAGGCAATCTGTTGCGTGTAACTGGATCTGGCCTGAGTGGAGAGAAATGAATGAAACATGTGACAAGGTGTGATTAGTTGTCCACCCATCTCGCTTGGTGTTTGTTGACAGATGGTCTTTTGTCAAGGTAATTTGTTCAACAGAATAACCAGGTAGATAATTACCTGTTGCTTCTGTGGCTATTAGGGCCATTGTTGTGTTAAAAACATCCTAATAGTGAAAATTCATTGCTCTGAAGGGCAACCAAAGGGGGGCATTGTATCTAGCTGACCTGAGGCAACATGTTTTTCTTTCCTTTTTGAAAAGCTTGGTTTCTTGTTAAGGATTACTTCAACAAGGTGGTATTAAACATAGTAAATCTTAGAGCAACCAAAACTTCAATGCAAACTTGAGTATGATTTCAGAACACATTTTCTAAAAGTGATATTAAAAATCATATAGCATAAAGTCTGGTTTTGGCAAGCCTCACTTTTTCTTAAACTACCGCGTGTATAGGCTCAGTTGCATCAGATTAGACCACTATTCATCTGGGATGCAAATAAACATGATAGGGTTTTAAGAGGCTGGAGCGGAAAGGGGTGTGTCGAGGGTGTTGTATTTCATGTCAAACCACCTGGAGAGGAGACACTTAAAGGCGCGCTGGTCCTGGGTGCCAGCCACAGTAGAGAAACGCCAGTCACTGAAGAAGGACACATCACTTGAACGACAACAGTTGAATAACTGTATTGGACTTTGGATTTGCACCCCCCTCAGGTAATGGACAGCAGGATCAGACCGCTTGGCCTGGCCGGGCACACCGCCAACACGCTCGGTGGCTTGCAGGTGCCCCCTTCCCTCCTGCACCCTCCGCCTCTCTTCCTCCGGGCTTGTAACCCCTCGCTAGAGAGGGGCTACCCCCGCACGCCCAAGTGCGCCAGATGCAGGAACCACGGCGTGGTGTCCGCGCTGAAAGGCCACAAGCGCTTCTGCCGCTGGAGAGACTGCGTGTGTGCAAAGTGCACGCTGATAGCGGAGAGGCAGCGGGTGATGGCGGCGCAGGTGGCACTGAGGCGGCAACAGGCTCAGGAGGAGAGCGAGGCCCGGGAGCTCCGGCTCTTGTACCCGGGCTCAGGGGTCGGTGGGGAAACAGGGATCCCTCAGGGGTCACCCGTTGGCCCCGGGGTGCCAGCGGCTACCAGGAACACTCCAACAGCCTCCAGTTTTGATGTTTTTGGAGCAGAGAACCAAAACGATGGTAAGTTAAAAATAAAAAATAATAATTTTGATACCCAAATGAAATTAAATTTCTTATTATAAACCACAAATTGTTCGAATTCACACTTAGCCTAGATATTGCCATTATATTATGCTTAGTTTGAGTTTTTTTTACTTTTAAAGACTGCATTGTTTCAAGCTTTTTACTACGCAGGCAGGATCAGATTAATCTACAAACCACATGTTCTTCTGTTGTCCACATTTCAGATGACAAACTGAACAAGTACAACTTTTATAACGGATTGATGGGTCGGCCCCTCTTCGCACCCCACACCGCGCGGCTGCCCTCCCCAAATGACAAAAAGGATCTGTCTCCCAGCAAGGACGATGACAGCTCATGTCCATCCCCGGCGTTTGATCACACAGGGAGTCCGCAGAGGTCGCTCTCCCCCTCGGATCCAGAGTCAGGCAGCGAGTCGGAGAAACGCAAGGACTACCCGAGCCTGGACCGGGACCCCACCGATATCATGACCAAGATCTTCCCCCATCAGAAACGGGACACCCTGGAGTCTATGGTGAGAACGTGCAAAGGCGACATCGTCAGATCCATTGAACTGGTGTTGAACTCCAAAGAGAACAAAATCGACTCCGACCCAAACTCACTCAGGCCTTCTGTTGGAGTGCCCGGGGCGCTTGGTGCTCTGGGGAACAAGTCCGCCTTCTCCCCGCTCCACATGCCACCGACGGCCGCAGGGGGAGACAGTCTGTATGGGTTCGGCCCTCGCCTCGGTGTCAGCCCCTTACGACTGGCCTATTCCACTGCAAACGGTGGCATGGCAGGTTTCATGTCGCCATACATGACATCGGGACTGATGCCAGTGTTTCCACTGCGTCCAGCCTTGGACTCATATTCCTTCCCGGGCATGATCCGAGACCTTTCCTACCTTCAGAGCAAGGAGACACTATGCAGCACAGGTCTTTACACTCGACTTAACAGTGAAAAATGACAAATGAACGTGAACACATGAAACTGTCATTGTAAACTGGCTTTCAGATTTAGCTTTAAGTCGCCTTGTAGTGCCTCAGGACCCAGCTAAAGTGCAAATTCAAGTCACTGCATTCTGATTTTCCAAATATTTCCTTTTTTTTTTTTTTTTACAGTTTTTTTTGTGTCGGCTACTACATGTTGTAAATAGTGTTTATTATTAATAAAGCTCTCAAAAGATGCTCTTGTTTTACATGTGTTCATGATTTTGTGCAGATACCAAGATTCTATCTATCTATCTAAAGTCTTACCCCAAAACGTTTTTCCTTGTAAACACACATTAGGCTTATAGTCACCCACCTACATACTCTCATTATAACACGTGATGCATGTTAGGCTAAAAAAGAGAAATAAACGTTGGAATTTATTGAAATGTTACAATGTAGTCAGTGAACAGAACATTGGAACGTCTAAGTGTTCGATGTCACAAGAAAGCCAATGGATAGAACGCTGCGACGTCACAGTATTCAGTTGTTACTATGTAGGTAAGGAAAGGAACAGTTACAGCTCAGGCCCTTATAAAACAGGTGAGGTCAGTATTCAGTCAGGAAAATTGCTGCCCCCTCTCAGTTTTAGACAATGAGGTGTGCGGATTTCAAAGTCTGTGCCCTACCAACCGGAAACTTGTTTATTGTAAGTTACAAATAAATGTAACTAACCTAAACATCTTTCCATTCCGTCTTTCCTATGTGAAAAACGTCAATAAAGTCTGAATTAAGAACGTGAAGAAGTGTACTTCTTTCTCCGCCCCCAGGAAGCCATTCTCACTCATGATTGGTGAATGGAAGCACACGCGGCTCGGATTAAAACCAATAGAAAGCTTTAGAAGCGTCACGAGGCCACATGTTTCAGGAAGTCAGGACATGGCCAGTTTAAATGTTGGATGTATATCATGAGTTTGAAACACCTCTGAGCGGGGTTTTTTTTTGAGGCAAGAGGGCGTCAGTATACACTCCTGCAGTCTGACATGCGTTTCCACATCATTGTGGCCGCTGTCTTTTGGTGTGGTTTCGTAGCGTCGCGGAAAATAAGAGGAATATCTTCGTCCTGTAAGTTCAGTGTCCCCTTCCAGCTAGCTTAAGGCTAAGTAGCTGTCGTCATATTTGCAAATAACACTGGATAGTGTAACTTTAACAGCCCATAATCTTCAACAGACAACCTATTGCACGTTATCATGCGGTCGTCATCGCTGCATTTAGTACACAGCATTTAAAGTATGGTAGCAATAACACCAGACCTAATGTATTTTAATTGCCCAGGTAGCATTGAATCACAGACTCTGAACTTAAGCAATAAATGTTATAGACACAAAATGTTGTTCTGAGTCTACCCCTTTCTTTTGGTAACATTTCTAACCGCAGTTCAAGGTCATCAACATGCATCGGTCTGTAATGTTTTTATTGTGTAACAGACAAGCGGTTCTACAGGGAGAGGAAGTCCTTTCTTTGCATTGATGGGTCGAAAATCATCCCATTTGAGCAGGTGAACGATGACTACTGCGACTGTGAAGATGGCTCAGATGAACCAGGTAAAAAGTCAACTTATGGGCGAGGAGGTGTCTGTTCACCTTTGTCAGCAAAATGTGATCTGTGCAATGGTAATAATTATTATCTTGTGGGAAAATAATGTTTAACTGGACTTGATATTTCTGATCAATGGAAAAAGTCCGTTGTCTGTGGTAAACTTTTGCATGTTCAGTAGCTATCCTAGAACAAGTTTTTTAAAGGCTTTGGATTACTTTGTAAGCCAACAAAAAACTGATTTGACCCATACCCTAATGAGTTTCCCTACTTGTTAGAAAGAAGGTAGCAGAAAAAGCAAGTGGTGAATGAGTTAAAATCATGAGCATGTTGGTGATATTATCTGCCTACACCAATATTTTAGATTGATCATTGACCCCACGTATTGTCAGCTGACGCAGCCAGTCCAGTGCAGGGTAAACAGGAAAATATAGAGGTCAATATATCCCAGACCTCAGGTTTACACAGTTTGAGCTGTATCAAATATCCACGTAGTAAGTGAAACTACTACTACTAGTACTTTTATCACTGGAAAAAAACCCTACAAAATGCAGTATACCACACCCAAAAGTTTCAGCCAGTGGACTTTTAAACTACTTATTCTAAACAGGGTTAGGATTATTTCATAGTGCAAATAGCTTTTGAGTGCTGCCACTGCAGAGCAAGGGTTAGGGTAATTTTTGACTCTCAAACAGGTGGAAACCCTGAGTGTTTTGTTAAAAGCCACACCACAATAAATCATAAAACAACAACCTTAAGGGCTTAAAGGGTCTACACGTTGCACTCGTCAGCCCCCAAATAGTTTTGATTAGATTCTTTTGTTTGTGAACGTTGATTTATTTATGCAGCGCTGACCTCTGCTCCTTCCCCCATGTAGGCACCTCAGCCTGTCCACGTGGCCGATTCTACTGCACCAATCTGGGTTTCCGCCCGCACTACATCCCATCATCGCGAGTCAACGACGGCATCTGTGGTAAGGCTTGTTATATTGAGTTATATTGGATGAAATAATACTCCCCTGAAAGTTGACTTTAATAATCTTTACATAATCGTTTGAAGTGAGGCAACGGATCAACAATGTGTTCTGCTTCAGCCTTTTTCAAGGACAACAAGGGCAGCACCGCCAGTGCTGCAGTGATGAACGCTGTCTTATTTGTTCACAATAGTAGAAAGGTTTGATACCGAATGTGCTCTAATATCTTGCAACTTATTAATTTCATACGTAGTTGTGAGGTTTAATCCAAACAGTTTACTTCCCTTTTTTTTATTGGGTAAGAAGATGTTCTGCTTGCTTTTGCCCCTTTTGTGTGGCTTGCAAACATGGACAGGAATTCATATTTTACATGATGTTAAGAAGCTGACATGTTGTTGCACAAACTGTCACTCCATTTTGTTGTACAAACAAACAGATAAAGTAGGCAGAGGAAACAAAACATGGCCCTCTAACACACACACACACACACACACACACACACACACCAGTGTGCACACTCACTCTTCTCACAGTTTTCCTTGAAAAACACCCTGTCCTTTTCTTCAAGACATTCTTTCTTGTAAATATCTGCCACATTTTATTGCCTAATCAGATAGTTTTTCAGCCCCCGTTTTCATCCACTTTTGCTCTCCAGTAGCTCTCCACTTTGGATAAAATCAATACATTCTGTTGTCGACATCTCCTCTCTGTCACCGGCGCTTTCAGTAGCATTAGACGGCATGCAGCCATCTCAGGTGAAAAAAATAGAAGGAATGAAGAATGAAAGAGCAGTACTGGAATATTTTTCAAAGCCTCCTTCTCCCTTTCCACCCTCCTTTATTCTTTATTCTACTCCCACCTCTCTTCTCATACCTTCCCTGCCTTGAATGGAGCCACTTAATAGGTAACACGTTGTCGCTTTTCCTCTTCGACTGGGTGTAGAGGGATTTTCGTTGGTCTCCCATTCTGGGCTGTAAAGCTCTTGTTCCACCGGTCACCAATAGGGCTCTGGATAATTGAGACATATCACACTGTTCCCACTCTCTTGGGTGGAACATCTGAGCAAAAGCCAGATCTGAGCACTTGCGAAACGCCATACAGCAAGTGGTTGATCTCAAGAGACCCTCACTGAACTAACTCTCTCTCTCTATCTATCTATCTCTCTCTCTCTCTCTCTCTATCTCTATCTCTATCTATATATATATATATATATATATATAACAATATATGCACCTAAGAGAAAATACATTTGCTAATTTTATCAGTGTAAGACAGTTGATTTAAACCAGGCACATATGCAATTTAATAGGTGTCACTGGTCAGTTCAGTATTTTGTGCAATTGCGATAACTGTCAATTAAGGCAGTGGTTCTCGAACTTTTTCTGTCCCGCCCCTCTTTAGAAACTGAAATACGTTCAAGCCCCCCGGATTCCAGCAAAAGTGCATTTCATTTTTATCAATCATTAACAACACGGGCGATTGAAATAAAACGATAGATTCATGTTAGCAAAAAGCCTTGCTTGCATCACAGCACCCATTTTTTTGGTTTATGCCACCACATGAATCATATTCATGCAACTTTAGGTCCGCGCCACAGCCATGACCCCCTCTGTAGTGGCCTATATTTGAACCAAGGCCCCCCCCCCCCCCCCCCCCCCCGGGCATATACAATAATTTTATCTATGAATTGTCAGAAAATACTGAAACATGGCTATTGTAATTATGTTATTTGTCATTATAATAACAAAGAACAACAGTGCATCCTCACGTTGGAGCAGAGTTAATCGATTAATTGGCTGATTGTTTCAGCTCTGCTCTCATTACACCAGACTTTGAATGATTCTGTTTTATGTCTGTTTAAATGGTTATGAAAATGATGCCTCCATCCTAAAAAGCAAAAGATTCAAGTGGTCAAACCTTCTTCTTCTTTTTATTTATTTATTTATTTATTTTTAGGAGCAAAAGTGAGAGATGCTATGCTGCAATAGCACCCTGAGTATTGTTTTTAACTTGAGTCTGTGTTCCTTTCTATTGCCTAATTCTTTATTGGTCACAATGTTAAGAAAAAAAGCCTTATTGCTCACCTCTCCTTGCTGATGATGTTGAATGCTCTCCTGCTCTCTTGCATGTGCATTGGATTGGTTTCTCCTGTGTCTCCTGCCAGATTGCTGCGATGCTTCAGATGAATACAACAGCCACGCTCACTGCCAGAACACTTGCTGGTCAGTTGAATCAAAACTGGGATTCAATATTTGTAAAAGAAAACACATGCCGATTTTGACTGAGAATATGGCACCAAAGGCACACGCATAACTAAAGGAAAATAAATATTCAACCAGTCCTTTCTGTTTGGGTTACATTTTCGGCAATTTAATTTAAAAAATGCAGATCTTCTTAAATTTAAGCGACCTACTGCTCACATGCTGCACTCATGGGATAGTGACTCATTCACTGTGCCACCAGGGGGCATGGTGTTACTGTGATTTAAAAATGTGACGTAGTTCAGATCTTCTCTTGTAACGTATATTCATCACAATACTGTTTTGAAGAGTTGATCCATGATAGAGATCTGACTCGCCACTAAATTAAACCTTCCTTCCCTTAAATTGTACTCTCAGTAACCTCACCCAGAGGTGATTTTCATGCAGATAATTTAGTTTCTACAGGATTTAAATCACACACTGCATAGATGATACAGCTGTGAATAAAAAAAGTTGTTTTTCTTTTATTATAAAGAATACAGCCTCCTGCCAGGCTATATTCATCATCTTTTCTGAGCTGCACTGCAAAGATTGACCCTGCTATGATGCTGAAGTGTAGCCCGCTGTGTAAATGTAACTTCTAATACAGTAACCCACTTCTTTTGTTGACAGTCCACTGTTATTTCCTTCACTTGCCATTCGCCCCTAAACCACATACAAGCAGAGTATATCTCATTATGTTTTCACAAGGTCCGCACTCATATTGTGTTTGCCAGACAGACAAATTTAGTTCATCCACAGAGCATCAGCCCCCATCTTATTTACTGTTCTATTTCCCATTTGGATTCCTGCTGC